TATATTCTCATCTTTCATCATACCAGGGAAGTTCTCTTCCAACAAATCTTGTACAATTTTCTCAGTGGTTTTATTTTTCTCTTCCTGTTCTGGAATTCCAATGACACGTAGGTTATTCCTTTTGATGGTATCCCACATTAACCTTAGCTTTCTTCATTTTGATTTGATCATTTTCTGATTGTGTTCCCTTTCCAAAGAAATATGCAGGTATTGGTCTTCAATCTCATTAATTCTGTCTTCTATTCCATTAGTTCTACTCCTTTGTGCTTTCAATGTATTATCTATTTCTGACAATTTGGTATTAATCTTCTGGATTTCTATCTGTAGATTTTGAATCATTTCTTACTTTTCATTTATTTTGTCATTTTTTTTCTTGTATTTTGTTCTGAAATTCTTCTAGGGTTTTGTCTGTGTTTTCCTTGATCTGCCTCTCAATCCTTTGAAGATACCTAAATAAAATTCTTTTGAATTCCTTATGAGGGAGTTCCAATGCTGTGTCTTCTTCAGGGATGTGTTTTGGGTCTGTATCCTGGTCCCGTGTTTCTCCTGCTTTATCTTGCTTCTTTGCATGGACTGTGATGCTCTGTTGTCTCTGAGGCATTGTGACATTTTTGTGTTTATATTTAGTTGGTAATTGTAGGTTGGAGTGACTTGCCCATGATTTTCATTTTCTTTGTTTTGTTTGTATGTTATCTGTGCAAGCAGGGTACTATGCCGTGCTCCTGTATTCACTAGTTGGCAGCACTTAACACACTCACCACCTGTCTCCTTTCCTGTTGTCAGCCTCTGGTATGTCCCTGCCGACCTTGGCAAACAGAGCCTATTCTTAGGTCCCGGGAATCCAAATGAGAATGCTATCACTTTAAAATCCAAAATGGTTTTCACTTGTAAAGATTCAAAATGGCTGCTCCCTCGGTCACTTTAAGTATTCAAAATGGCCACCGCTTGTAAACATTCAAAATGGCTGCTCCCTTGATCACTTTAAATATCTAAACTGGCTTCCGCATGTAAGCAATCAAAATCATTGCACCCTCCAGACAGCGGAAAGTCAACAGCTTAGGTTGTCTCCCTCCTTGCTGTTTCCCTTCCTAGTCATAGGCCACCAGTGCAGTTGTCCCTGCAGCCCTTGGTGACCAGGGCTAATCTTTAGGTCAATTCTCAGGTCCCAACACCACGTGGAAATATTCAGGCTGTTGGTCACGTCAGAGTAGCTGACAGTCCACAGCTCTGACTGTCTCTGTACTCACTGTGTTTGTTCAGGTTTTTCTACTAGTTGGTGCCTAATCCACATCTGTATACTTCCTTTCAAAGCTCAGGGCTCCAGGATTATCTTCTGTATTTCTGTCAATTGGTTTCTCTTCTTTGTTGGCAAGGGTCTGTGTTGCTTGTCTGCCTATTCCTCCGTCTTACCGGAAGCCCCCTCCCAAAGGGGTGTCAGGTTTCATGAGGTATAATTTACATGCAGTAAAGTGCACCATTTTAAATGTGTAGTTGATGAGTTTTGATAAGTACATGTGGTTATGTAACCACCATGATAACCAATAAAGGTTGTGTTTGTTGATCACTTGATTCTATTTGATAAAATACCTGTTCCAGTATTTTGGCCTGTTTTTTTTTTTCCCCCCCTGTTTGAGCCTTTATTGTACAAATCAAGTATAAGCACATTTTTTTTTTTTAACAATAGAGAAACTTTAATTCTGCATGATTATAGCTGACAGTACCGGTAGATTCTGACTCATGGCTATGCCGTGAGTGTGAGAGTAGAACTGTGCACCTGGATCTCTGGCCTTTTGGTTAGTTGCCCAGCATTATTGGTTGGCACCACCCAGGGATGTAGATTACATTAAGGAATTATTAATTTTGATAAGTGTAGTAATCCTTTGTGATTATGTAAGAAATTGCTTGTTTTAAATTTTTTTTTTGTTGTTGTTTTTAAGAGCTTGTTTTACATTCAACGTCACTCATACATTTAGTTTCATTTCCCATTCGCCATGTCCAATCCTAACCCAGTCTCCTCCCCTCCCTACCCTGTAACCTCCCCCTGTGCCCTTCATATTTATGTACTCCTGTTTGTCCTGCATTTCCTCAGTTTGAATGTTGGTCCTCTGGTGTCCCATGGTCTACTGCTCTAAGGGATGTATTCCCATAGAGTATGTGGTTGCAGCATCCTGGGTTGAGTGATCTGTGTGTACATCTTATTAACTATTGGGCTGAGAGCCCGCTCCTGGGGATGAGTTTTATTCCAGGCACAGGGTGTATTCCAGGGCCATGGTATTGGGAGTCTCACCAGATTTCATCTGACCAGTAAATTCTGGTCATTATTGAGTTTTTGGATTATGTTCTATGTTTTCCCTCCCACTCTATCCAGAATTTGATCCTTTCCTGAGTGGGTGGCATTGGTAGCCAGGCACCATCTAGTTCTTCTGGTCTTGAGGGCCATCATGTCTTAGGGCTGATTGCTTCTGAATGCCCTTGTTTTTTTTTTTTTTTTTGCATTCTTCTTTGCTTCTGATGCTAGAAGACCAATAGCTGCATCTTAGATGGCCGCTTGAAAGCTTTTAAGACACCATTTGCTACTCACCAGTGTAGGATGTGGAAGAATGCTTTTACATATTTTGTTGTGCCAGTTGAGTCTGGTGTCCCCCAGTACTATGGTCCTGAGGCAGTAGATCTATTGAATCTCTCTCTGCCATAGTGTCTGGTTGTCTCTGTGTCTGTCTTCTGTTGTTTCTGTAAAGACTGCAGATATTTTGTGTCACTGGTGTCTGTGCAAGATTAGCCTTAGCTGAATCTATCCTTGGTCTAGAGTATACTTCTGTTCACTGACCCCCGTCTGATCATCTCAGGTTATTTATGTGTTTATCTGCATAGCCTAGTGTTTGGTGTTAATGGCAATGCAGTATTGTGGACATATTGGTTGGTATTAGCATCTGTCATCTATCTCTTATGTGCACAATTCAGTGTCCTCCCATTTCCTAATGTTATTATGGTGGTCATATATCCTTTCCCCATATTTTAAATTGAGTAGTCTGTCTTTGATTGACTTGCAGGAGTTTTTAGAGCTACTGAATACATGAATTTGTCAGATACTTCTCCCATTCTCTGGTTTGCCTTTTTTTTTTTAAGTGGTTTCTTTTCATGAGCAGTTTTTAATTTTGAGATATTCCCTGTCTTCTCTATACAGATCCCTCCTACTTACAGGCAACTAATTTCTCTGATTTCTCCTTTGTTCTTCTAGAGTTTCTTTTTGCAAAAATAAGTACCTGAGCACACACACAGGTGTGTCTTTTTAATGTACGTGTGTCTCCCTTTTTTCTTACACAAATGTTGCCATACTGTGTTTATTCTTTTGCAGTTTGCTTTTTTCTCTTAATATATGATAAAAATTACTCTTTATCAGTGCTTAAGGATTTTTCTCAATTGTTTTTTTCCAGCTGCACAGTAGCCAATTTTTAGTATGCTCAATCTTGGCTAGAAGCACAGGGCACATAATAAACATAAACTCTTTGTGCTGCAGTTATTTCTGGGCTTTACTAGGGCATCTTCTTTTTGGCACTTGCATGGAATCACACTAAAGTCTGAACGACCTGTAACCCTATGGGGAGTTGAGCCATTCTGATTGGAGGAGCAAGGGTGAAAATGTTTCCCTCTTCATGCCTGACTGTAGAATGAAGGACTCTGCTTTTGGGGGCTCATCAGATCTAAGAACCTTAAGAAACAGTGTTTGAAAAGTAATGAGAAAGGGGAAAAGGCATGTAGAATGATCACTGTTTCTTTGTGTTGACATTTGCTATGTGCTTGTATGCATCTTTTCCTTACTTCCCTCCTTGATGTATGACTTCATGTGACAGGAAGTAATGCTAACCAGTGAGCCTTACAGCTTTTAATATGTGTCTGTCACGCTTTCACTCAGTCTTTCCCTCTAAAACAGGTCGCCCGGGAGAGTGGCCCACCCCACATGAAGAGTTTTGTGACCAAGGTGTCAGTCGGGGAGTTCATAGGGGAAGGTGAAGGGAAGAGCAAGAAGATTTCAAAGAAGAATGCTGCAATCGCCGTTCTGGAAGAGCTGAAGAAGTTACCTCCTCTCCCTACAGTCGAGCGAGTAAAGCCCAGAATCAAAAAGAAAACAAAATCCATAGTCAAAGTAAGAACCTTCCTGAACAAAAAGGGCATTTTCATTGCTGTAGGTGGTAAGGGGATTTAGAAGGTGACTGTTGACTCCAGGATGAAAGAGTGGGAACTCTTCCAGCTACCTGCTTTAGTTCTCCCAGGAGCCACATGGGAGGGAAAGATAGCTCCCTGCAGAAGTCCCTGCAAACCTGCACACGTTTGTTGTATGGGGGTGTGCAGCACAGCTCCCTGATCATAGTGAGGAAGGGGGCAGGACCTAAAGGTCCATCTACAGGGAGGATGGTTAAGCGGAGGTGAAGCCATCTCATTGGTTGTATGCTGTTCTGACAGTGAGGGAGCTATGTAAGCAGTGATGTCCATGGGGCAGGACCAGGACTGAAGCTTTATTCTCTCCAGTTTTTGAGTGACACTAATGAGCCTATAAAAAATTAATTTAACCTCTTTGCTACATCCCAAAAAGGAACAGGATTCCACCTGGGGTTGTGAATAGTTGCAAAGGCCTGTTCTATCCTATCCTGATTTTCAGTATAAGTTCATGAATTTTCATGCTGCATTAAGACCCAGGATTTTCTTGCACAGCAGTGAGCACACTCTCAGTACTCTCTGCAGTTTCCCTTTCTCACTACACAGCATCATCTGGGCTCACTGGGTTTTTTCAGTCCTCCTTTCACATGAGTCAGCTTGAGCATTTTTTTTAATTGCTTCTGGATTTTGAGTCATTGTTAAGAAAGCTACAAACCCATTTTATAACCTAGACTTCTGGGGAGTTCTGGCTAGTGTTTATTTTTTCTACCTCTGTTCAGTGTCGCATGTTCAAATTTGTTGTTAAAAAGATTACATTACAGTGATGCTTACCAATTGTGAAACACTGATGTTGAGTTGCTAAGAAGACCCTAAAATCAGGCCAGCGCAATCCTACAAAATTATAAAGCATCTTTCAATTATAAAAATAAAATAGTGAACAAAAATATCTGATAAGTTCTCAGCCATTAGATCAACATAAAAGCAGTCTCCTGTCATGTTCCTGATCTCTGCATTGGCAAGATCCTTTCTGTGAGTGACATGGCACTCAACATCCATATTATGTGTTCCTCAGCTCCACACAGGCCCAGAATATGGCCAGGGAATGAATCCAATTAGCAGACTGGCCCAGATCCAGCAGGCGAAAAAGGAAAAGGAGCCAGAGTACCTGCTCCTCACCGAACGAGGCCTCCCGCGCCGCAGGGAATTTGTGATGCAGGTGGGTCAGTGGGGCTTGTGGGGGGCCTTCTCTGGCCACATCTGGTCTCTGGATCTGCTCCGGATGCAGGGTTGTGTGTTTCCTGAGGAGCCAGGTCCAATGCGTCAGCCCTGTGGGCCACTCTCTGCCATCAGACTTGTTACTAGGACTGTGTCGCTTGTGATACGTTGATGACTTAGGAGACATATACTTGTACCCCATAGTATTGTGTAGCAACAAGTGGAAATTGAAATATATTCTGCCAAAGTTTTGAAGAGGGTTGGGGTAGTGGAATTATGGGAGAATTTTTTATTCATTATGTCTTCTTGAAGTAGTTCATGATACTGTTCTTTTCAAAAGTTAAATTTTACAAGTATTATCAGATGATCTGTTGTCTGCTTATAATCCTTTTGTGGAATTTGGAATACAGGATTGTTTCTTCCTTGCACTGAAGTGACACTTCAGATTAGTTCAGAATGTTTCTCCTTGTACTTAAGTTTACTAAATTATTTCACATGGGCAGCCTAATTCAATTGTGATTTTAGTTTAATAGTGTTTTCTGGTGAAAAACAGGATACTTAAGTCTTATGTAGCACTTCATAGTTTATAAAGCACTGTCACTTACCTAGTGTATTTCACTTAACCATGCTGAAGGTCAGAAAAGTGATCCTTCCATTCTTCGTTCATAGAAATTGCAGCTTGCTGAGAGGATCCTGATTTCCCCAAGATAAAACGGCTAGGAAGTCCTAGAATTCAATCCCAGGCCACTCTTTGCAAGCCAGGGAAGGGTTTCCTTGACTCTCTGTCTTAGAACACAGGGCTACTGTTTTTAGTAGCCAAGTACCTGTGATTAAGACCAACTTGGTGGGATTGTGTATGCTGTTGAGTGCTAATAATATATGGTTAGCACCTGGTGCTTGGGAGGTGAGGGCAGAGCTTACTTAGCAGGCTTTGTGCGTGTGTGTTACAGGTATTAACAGAAAGGAGTGTAGCACCCAACTAGCAAATAATACCGTAATATTCTTTATTGTAAATTCCATACATCTGTAACTTCAGTGTGACTCTGTCACCGAGAATAGTGTTACACAATAAGACTGCATGTACATGGTTTATTGCTATCCAGTTCAACAAGGAAGTTGCTAATGTCATTGATGAATGAAGTTCCAGCTTGAATAAGGTTGATACATTTTTTATTTTTTTTTTTAACTATTATGATTTGGACGAAAGTTTATAGAGCAAATTTGTTTCTCATTTAACTATTAATATACCTTTTGTGACATTGATTGCAGTCCCCATAGTGTAGCAGATAGCGCTCTTCCCACTTCTCCCCTGTGTTTACCATTTCCATTGTTCCTTCTTACTGGTCCTTCCTGCCTTCTGAGCTTTATCCCTGGGCAGATGCTGCCCTTGTCATTGTTCTAAGGAGCGTGTACAGGCCTATCATTTGGCTGAAAGTTGAGCCATAGGGATGAGTTCCATTCCAGGCCTGAAGGGTGTCTAAGGGCCAGCGTCTTAGAGGTTCTACTCGTCTCTCTTTGTCACATCAGTTAGCCTGGTCTTTTTTAGGATTTTGAATTTTGTTCTACATTTTCTCCCGCTCTATCCCAGATATCTTATTGTGATCTCTTTCACAGAAGTCTGCAGCAGTAGCTGGATACCATGTAGTTCTTCTGGCGTCAAGGTCATGGAGACTGAGGTTCATGTGGTCGATTAGTTTTAAGGACCAGTTGTTTCCCTATTTCTTTGGTTTTCTTCACTTTTCTTTGCTCTGGAAAAGGTGGGACGCATAGTTGCACTTCAGATGACTGCTCAAAAACTTTTTTTATTATGATTTGGGTGAAAGTTTACAGAGCAAATTCAGTTTCCATACGGCAGCTCACATACACTTTGTCTCATGACATCGACTGCAGTTTCCCACACTGCAACAGCTCCCCTCCCACTTCCTCCTCATAGTTAACCTTTTCCCTGTGTCCTTCTTTCCTATGCACTCCTGCCCCTCAAGCAGTCTCCTTGTACATATACAACCCTTCTATTCTCCCATGATTGATCTCTCCAAAGAGTGTATCTACCTAATGGAAATGTTCAGCTCATATGCCTGTCTTTTGTTTGTCTGGAAGCCACTGGATAGTTCCAGACCTGAAGGGCAGCTAGGGACCATCGTCTCAGGGGTTCCACCAGGCTCTATCAGACCAGCAAACCTGTTCTTTTTTTTTTTTGTTTTTTTTTTAATGATTTTGAGTTTTGTTCCACATTGTTCTCCCACTCTATCCAGGATCTCTCCTACATAGATCCCCCTCCTAGTGGTTGACAGTGGTAGCCAGGCACCATCTAGTTCTTCCGGTTTCATGGTCATACAGCCTGAGGATCACATGGTATAACAGTCTCTTGGACCAATTCTTTCCACGCGTCTTTGGTTTTCTTCATTCTTCTTCTTTTTTTTTTTTGACTTGTGATTTGGGTGAAGATTTACAGAGCAAATTCACTTTCCATACAGCAGTTCACATATGCTTTGTCTCATGTCATTGACCACAGTCTACCACAATGCAACAGCTCCCCTCCCACTTCCTTCCCATATTCATTCTTCTTTCTGGATGAGGAGAGACATTGTTTCATCAAGATGGCTGCTTGTAAGCTTTTAAGATCCCAGTCGCTACTCGCTAAAGTAGGATGTAGAACAATGTTTTTGTATAGTATGTTATGCCGGTTGAGTTTGATGTCCCCAGCGACCATGGTCCCGAGCCCACAGGTCCAACTGCTTGCTCACTCTGGTAGCTGGCTGCACTCACAAGCTTTTAAGACCCTAGTCACTACTCACGAACATAGAATGTAGAACATTGTCTTTGTGGATGATGTTATGCCAGTTGACCGTAGTGTCCCCAAAAATACCTTTCTTTATATTATAAGTAAGATGAAAGAGAAAATGACAGAGACGTGTCAGAACTTGCCTCATTTGTTAGCAATATTTGTTACTTCCTTGAATTGGATAATAGTCTTTGAATGCTGCAAGAATATTTCAGTGTTTTATACTAACAACAGTGTAATGGGAACAGATTTAATACACTTCTAAGTTTAATCTGTGCTGTTAACCTTTTCTCCATCCCTTTCTTAAAATCAGTAAGACAAATTACACCTTGATAGGCAAGATTTGCCAGTTTTTGTTGTGTAAATTCTTTTTTTTTTTTTTTTTAGAGCTTGTTTTACATTCATCGTTACATGTACATTTAGTTTCACTCCCCATTTACCAAGTCCAACCCTAACCCAGTCTCTTCCCCTCCCTACCCTATAACCCTCCCCCTGTGCCCCTCATTTTTAAGCATTCCTGTTTGTCCTGCATTTCCTTAATTTGAATGTTGGTCCTCTGGTACCCCATGGTCTGTTGCTCTAAGGGATGTATTCCCATAGAGAATGTGGGTGCGTCATCCTGGGTTGAGTGGTCTGTGTGTACATCGTGTTAACTATTGGGCCAAGAGCCAGCCCCTGGGGGTGCATTTTGTTCCAGGCGCAGAATGTATTCCAAGCCCATAGTATTGGGGATCTCATCAGATGTCATCTGACCAGTAATTCTGGTCATTATTGAGTTTTTGGATTTTGTTCCATGTTTTTCCTCCCACTCTGTCCAGGATCTCCAGTTTTGATCCTTTCCTGAGTGATTGGCATTGGTAGCTGGGCACCATCTAGTTCTTCTGGTCTCGAGGGCCATCATGTCCTAGGGCTGATTGCTTCCAAATGCCCTTGGTTTTTTTTTTCATTCTTCGCTTCTGAAGCTAGGAGACTGATGCTGCATCTTAGATGGTACTAGAAGGCTTTAAAGGCCCCAGTTGCTACTCACCAATGTAGGATGTGGAAGAAGGCTTTTATGTATTTTGTTGTGCCAATTGAGTTTGGTTCCCCCCAGTTGTGGTGTAAATTCTTTTATGGGCAATTTTCCACTGTCTGAGCGAAGCCGCTGACACAGAGATGGGAAGAGATGTGCAGCAGTGCACCGGTATCTAGTATCTCCACCCGACAGAGACAGTAGACAGAGAGAACCTCAAGAGCCTAGATGATATTCGAGTGTACTCAAATTTGTAGTCAAATTTGAGTGTAGTGATATTTGAGGAAGTGACGAGTTTTGAGTAGTCATTACCTTTGTTTTATGAAAATTTATTTTAGAGTTTTATCATTTATTTTTCAATAATGACTGTGTTTACTAGCTCCTCAAATTTCTGAGTATTTGATAATTATCTCCTACGGGTTGGTACAAACCAGCTCTAGATCACTACTGTTAAGCTAGTTAGCCTCTGACTGTTCTTCTGGTTTTTTTGACCAAGGAATCAATTATTGACTGGTCTTTACCTTGAAGATTTAAGAAATGGTCTGTGTCTTGACTTCCCTATTCAGGTGAAGGTTGGAAACCACACTGCCGAAGGAGCAGGCACCAATAAGAAGGTGGCCAAACGCAACGCAGCCGAGAATATGCTGGAGATCCTTGGTTTCAAAGTCCCGCAGGCTCAGCCCACCAAACCGGCACTCAAGTCAGAGGAGAAGGTGACCATGGGCTCTGCTTTCTGCTCTGTAATTGCATGACGACATCTCACCTCATTCCTGGGGACTGGCCGTTTGAGGAGGACCCTCAGAGCAATGTTCCATTATCTTCCAGGAGATCAAGCAGCCCACGAGCAGGATCTTCCCTGCTTGAACTGAGAACGTGGGCAGAGGGGGTGTTGCATGTCAGATGGCTCCCTGCATGTCTCTGGGCTCTGGGTCATTACTATTTTCGTATCTTTATGGTGTGAGCATGCTTTGTTGGAGGTTGGTTTGCTCCTTTTCTCCATTTGTAGGATGATGGTAATTGGACTTGAGAAAAATGCCATTTGCTTTCATAATGAAGCACATAAAAGAGTCATAAGCTGTGGGCTTTCTTTTGCTGTGGAGCAGGCTTTGATTTTTCTGGGACACTGAGACGGTGTGATATTAGAGTTAGGTCTAAACCTCTGCCTTATTTGAGTTGAATGCCAGATGGAAATAATCCCATGTCGAAATTTCAGTTCTGCTGCGAGTGGCAGGCAGCATCCTCAGTGACAGGTTTTCCTGACCCCCTCATTCCCAGTGGAATGGTCCTGTCAGGAGAAGCCTGATTCATCCTTGTGTGCTGCTCATGTCAGCAGTGAGTAGTGGCCTCGGCTGCAGCCACATCATTACTGGTCAAGACCCTGCACGCTCCTCGCAGCACCAACACAGACCCTGCCCTGGGCTTTGGCAGTTTTCTTTCAGCAATCCTGTAGAGTATTCGTGACATCTTCAGCTTCCTGCTTCTCAGAAAGGAGACCTGGAATTTGGCAAAATTTTGATCTAGTAACATTTTTCCCTGCTAGTGAGTTTATCTCTGGAAATATCACCTTATTTTTTAATTATTAATTCCAGGAAATAGTCTTGATTTGTTTAACTTTACTCTAAAAGTTGCTGCTTCTGCGTTGGTGGGCTCTACCAGTCTAGCATTTTTTTTTTTTTTTTTTTTTTGGCTCCTTCTGGTTGAACACATCCCTGTCTTCCTGAGAACACGGAGAGACTCAGCATTCACAGCTTAAGCACTTGGTCAGTGCTATTCAGGGACAGAGCTGATGTGGGCAGGATCGTGCACTGGGGGAAAAACAGGGAGGACCTATCAGGGTGGTGTAACCAAACAGTGGTCATGTTTCAGAGAAGGGTTTTTCCTTCTTCATATTTCAAAAGTTTAAAACAAAAGATAGATAGTGGTTGGAGTTCGTATAGTTTCAGACAGCAGGAGCTAATTTTTCAGTGGTTTGATTTATGGCTTGTTTTGTTTTGTTTCAAAGACACCAATAAAGAAACCAGGGGATGGAAGAAAAGTAACCTTTTTTGAACCTGGCTCTGCAGATGAAAATGGAACTAGTAAGTGTTATCTTACTGTCGTCTTGATTGGAATGGGATTCTGGGGTCTCGTGGTTGCTGAGTAGCAGCAGGTACCCAGTGTTTTAAACCCAGTGTGCACTGTGGTATCTGTAGCATCGCGCTGGCCAGCGTGTATACTGGGTGGAGGCCCAGCCTGGTGATATGGAGTCGTGCTTCTCTGTGTGTGTGTTCCTCCCTAGGTAATAAGGAAGATGAGTTTAGGATGCCTTACCTTAGTCACCAGCAGCTGCCTGCTGGAATTCTTCCCATGGTGCCCGAGGTTGCCCAGGCTGTAGGTGTCAGTCAAGGACATCACACCAAAGATCTCAGCAGAGTAGCTCCGAATCCTGCCAAGGCCACGGTGACTGCCATGATCGCCCGGGAGCTGTTGTATGGAGGCACCTCGCCCACAGCTGAGACCATTTTAAAGAATAACATCTCTTCGGGCCATGTGCCCCATGGACCTCTCACGAGACCCTCTGAGCAATTGGACTATCTTTCCAGAGTCCAGGGATTCCAGGTAATAGTTTGGCCTGAGCTGTGTGGTTCTTGCCTCAGTTGGGGGCAGTTTCTCTGGATTTCTCTCAGAAAAGCAACTTTGCTCTCTGATTTTTACATCAAGTTCTTTGTCTAGAGGAGTGAGGTGATGGAGGGATGAGAAAGGGTAGTCTGGGAGGAAGGGAGGGATAAAAATATTAAAAGCGTATGTGTTAAGAGAAAATCTTTGTTTTTTGGTAGTAAATTTTGAAAATCTAAGCAAACCATAAAAACAAGCCTCTAATTTAATAGTGGCTGTGTTGTTGTTGTTGTTGTTAAGTGCCGTCGAGTCGTTTCCGACTCATAGTGACCCCATGCGCAGCAGAACGAAACACTGCCCAATCCCGCACCAGCTCCACAATCCCCGCTATACTTGAGCCCATCATCGCAGCCACCGTGTCAATCCATCTCGTTGAAGGCCTCCCCCTCGTTGACCCTCCACCCTACCAAGCATGACATCCTTCTCCAGGGAATGGTCCCTCCTTACAACATGACCAAAATAGGTGAGACGAAGTCTGGCCATTCTTGCTTCCAAGGAGCATTCTGGCTGCACTTCCTCCAGGACAGATCTGTT